CTCACCAGCCCCTAGGCCATTTATTTTGTCTTTTTTTTTTTTTTTTTGCAGAACCAGGGATTGAACTCAGGCCGTTGTGCTTACCAGGAAAGCACTTATTCTACTGAGCCATCTCCCTGGCCCCTAGGCCATTTATTTTGGTGAAAAATAAAAAGTTTCAAAACTAGCTCCAAGGAATCAGAGAGGCCTCATATTGCTACAACTCATCTTCTCACTGAGGTCAGGTATGCAAGGCCTTGTGCAGTGAGGAAGAGAAGGGAGAGCAGATACAAAGAGACAACAGAGAACACCTAGCTTGCTTCATCTCACCTGACCTTTTTCTTTTAGCTCCTTTCTGAAAACAGAACTGGACTGCAACGTCCTGGGCCCAGCACCTGCATATTTATATTCATTTTGTGGAAGGGTGGCAGTCACAACTTCAGCTTGAGGAAGTCATGCAAAGTGGTTTGAATCTATTTTTTTTGGTGGTACCGGGGATTGAACTCAGGACCCTGTGCTTGCCTGACAAGCGCTTATTCTACTGAGCTATCTCCCCGGCCCAAAGTGGTTTGAATCTAAAGGAAAAACAAAAACTTTTAAAGTTCCAGTCTGTAATCCCAGCACTTGGGAGGCTGAGGCAGGAGGATCACGATGAGCTGGAGACCATCCTGCGCTACAGAAGTTAGTTCAAGACCAGCCTGCACTGCATAGTGAAACCCTACCTCAAAAAAAAGAAGTTTAATTTTGCTCTGCCAGTTGCAGTACCTCAAACAATCAGCCAACCATGCAGTGCAGAAGCCAATGAAAACAGAGCTCAGGTGGCTCTGGAGACTGGCTCATTTAGCAGCTGACCAATGAAGCTTGGATAGGAGGGGTACACTCAGGGGTCCAAGTGCCTTCTGGAAGCTTCCAGCCAAGAGTCTTCAAAAGTAGTCTGGTAGAAGCTCCAAACTGCCAAAAGACAGAGTCTGCAGCATCTGAAATAAAGACAAAGTTGAATTTGCTGGTCATGAGCATAGCAAGCAGCTGGACTCTTATAGGCTGGGAGAAGCACAGAGTTCCAGGAGGCACAGACATTGAGAGAGGTAAAGAGACTGACATAATCCTTAAGAGCTTTTCACAGCCAAAGCAGGAGGATTGGAAGGTATGGCTTCCCTGACCTACATAAAGACCATGTCTCAAAAAATAAATATAGGGCTGGGGAGATAGCTCAGTGGAATAAGTGCTTGCCTGGCAAGCACAAGGTCCTGAGTTTGATCCCTGGTACCACACACAAAAAAAATAATAATAAAAAAAAAATAAATAAAAAATAAATAAAAATGCTGTTTCCCTGGGAGAAAAAAAATTTAAAAAAAATAAATATATACATTAAACCAGGTATGGTGACACATGCCTGTAATCCCATCACTTGCAAAGCTGAGGCAGGAGGATTGCAGAGAGTTAAAGCCCAGCCTTTGAACTATATAAAAGATCCTGGGGCCAGCCAGATAGCTCAGCAGATTAAAGCACCTGCTTAGGCAGACAGGGACCCAGGTTTGATCCCTGCTGTGCCGGCCCCACCCCTGAGCACACTGAGACAGTGACAGCGACTGACACTGGGCTTAGTGGCGTGAGCCTGTAATCCTTTCTTTTTGCTGCCCTTAAGTGGTTGAAATGCAGGTAATTAGATGCTACAGTATTACCAAGGGATCTGATTCATGCTAATTTTCTTTTTTGAGAGAGGGTGATGCTTTGTAGTTCAGACTGGTCTTGAATTCACGTGCACCATCACCCCTGGAAATGATAATAAATTTTTTTTTTTTTTTTTTTTTTTTTTTTTTTTTTTTTTTTTTATGTTTTCAGGATGTTTTTTTTTTTTTTTTTTTTTTTTGAGACTGGGTCTTGCTATATAGTTCAAGATGGCCTTGAACTCACTATGTAGTCCAGGCTGGTCTCCAACTCATTGGAGTCTCACTGCCTTAACCTCTTGTTGGCTAGGTTTACAGGTGTATGGGCATGTGCCATGAGGCCTAGCCAAAGGTGTATGTGTGTCTGTGTGTGTTTGTCTATTTATTTATTTATTGGTACCAGGGATCGAACTCAGGACCTTGTGCTTGCCAGCCAAATGCTTAAGCCACTGAGCTATCTCCTTGGCCTTTTTTTTTTTTTTTTTAAGACAAGGTCTCACATCTATTTCAGGTTAGACTTAAACTCCCTATGTAGCCATGGCTGGCCTTGAACTAACAGTGAGCCTCCTGCCTCAGCCTGCTTAGTGCTGGGATCATAGGTGTGCACCACCACACCCAGTATACCCCTGGCCAATGATAATTTCTATAAAAGAGAAGCTTGAGGATAGTGTTGAGGTTGGAAGGGTTTGTGGAGGAGGGTCTGTGTGGCGAGGGGCGCTTGTTTGACTCTGAAATCTAGCAGTTTAGATCAGACCAACAGTGCCAAAGTAGGGAGGGGCACTCACAAAATTACTGCTGGAACTAATTCCTCTCAGGCTACCGCTCAAGGATGCCACTACAACATTTAGGAGCAAACAATAATTCACTAAGAAGACAATAATTTCAGCAGCTCAGTAGGCAGAAGCATTTGGATCTCTGAAGGAGCAAAGCATGTGGTGAAAGAAGAGCTGAGGTGAGGCTTTCTTAAGAAGGTAAAATTTTAGGGCTGGGGAAATGGCTTGGTAGAATAAGTGCTTGCCTGGCAAGCACAAGGGCCTGAGTTCAAAATCCTGGTTCCACACACACACACAAAAAAAATTTTAGTTGACTCACCACTTTTGCAAAAGAGAATGTGCTAATCCCAAGGAACCATCAGATTCCGGAGTAGGGCATAGAACTGGCCTTACCTTATGGCTAAAGGTTCCTGTTACACCAAGAGTCTAGAAACATGGGGCAGGGGAATGCATGAGCTCTTGCTTGCCTAGCATGCAGGAGACCCTGGGGTTGATTCCCATACCAAAAATAAATAAGGTTTCAGAAAGGCATACTCTAATTAACAGGAATTTCTAGGAGATTTTTGGTACAAGAGTGACAGTAATATTTAGGCAGATCACAGTGTTTAAAAGAATAGGGAGGTGGAGATAGCTTAGTAGAATAAGCACTTGTCTGGCAAGCACAAGGTCCTGAGTTCAATCCCCTGTATCACAACAACAACAACGACAACGACGATGAAGAAGAAGAAGAAATAGGTTAAGGATATAATTGGGCAAACTCAACATTCTTTTACAATTCTCAAGACTCTATTTTTACTTTCCAAAATAATTCCTTGCTGATTAACTTAAAATTCCCCCAAATCAAAACACATATTGCAAGATTGTGATTTCATTCATTGTTTAATAACCTCTTTTCCTGTTCAGATGTGCCATTTTACTAAAGTACAGAAAATGAGAAGCAAATTTCTCTCTAAAGGTTGAAGAACATGTTTAGCTGCAGAAAGAATCTTTTACGGATATTTCCGTTAGTATCTTCACATTTTACCTGTTCTTTTTTATTGTTATATTTCTCTTTGAGACAGGATCTCACTATGCAGTTCAGGTTGGCCTTGATCTTACTTCGTAATCCAGGCTGGCCTCAAACTCAGTGACCCTCCCACCTCAGCCTCTTGGGTGCTGGGATTACAGGTGTGGGCCACCACCTCCAGTTCAGATATACCTGTTCAACCCTTCATTCCTTTTTTAACTCTTCATTCTTCTTTCCCCTTTCAACTAGACACACCTGTTTAACCATCTTTTGCTTCCCTCTCTTTCTTCTCACTACATCCCAGCCTATTGACTTTTATGTGGTACATATATGTAGATGTGCCATCCTACCAAAGCTCAGAAAATGAGTATTTCCCATGCAACACCACTCCCAGCTGCGTTCATTCTTCACTAAGTGCCATTATGTACTGAGTGCTTTGGCTTGGCAGACATTTTGCTAAACGCACATAACAGAGAGGCTCAGAAGCTTCTAGAGTTGTATTAGGTGGTGATGGGGGTGGTGGAGTCAGAACCAGGGTTTGCAACTTGTAATGCCACAGTGTAAATGTTTGTCACTTGGGGCCTTCAGTTCTTTTGCGAAACAGAGCAATATTCTAATAAGAATTCCATTCATTGAGGGTGTACAGTAGCGAGTGCCTCCAAGTGGTACCTCCATTCAGGAACTCAGTTCTTTACACCATTCAGGTTAAGCCAAACTGGAAGAGAACAGGTTCAAATTTCCCCAGTAAGGTCAACATGGAACCCAACCATGAGTTTGATTTGAGCCAGCTCTCGTCCAATTGGCTTGCAATCACAATAGTGGAAAGAATTAAGTTCCTGAACCAAGGTTTCACCATACAAAGTCCCGATCAACTCCCACCCTTTTAACACCTGGAGCCTCCCACAAGAATGCAGAGCCTTAGGCGCCAGGGAATCTGAGGAATCACAAGGTCGAAGGGCAGGGCGAGGCCCATAAATCTGCACTTTAATAATGCTTATTCCGGGCCATTGTCATGTAGTACACTTAAAACTCTCCACAACCATTGGCCTCTCCTACTTTTTCTCTTTAAATCTTTTTCAGATCGAGGTACTTTCATTAGCCCTATTTTATACAAAATGAAACGCTGGCATGGAAATGTGAACTTTATAAGGTCACAGGGACTAAGGTCGGGAACCTAGACGTGCGGGAGATGCAGCTCCTAAATCTTAAGCCTACTACAGTCCTTTACCTCCTTTTACTAATTTGTTAATATCACAACAAACCCTGGCCTTGGAGATTAATAAAGATTTATCTGAAAGCTTACTAAACTAAGTCTGGTAAGTCTGTGCCAAGTCAACCTCTTCAACATCAAGTCCCTCGCCTTAGGCAAAACACCGGCACCTGGGGCGCCCGGCGGGGAGGGGCGGGGCGGAGCGGGGCGGGGCGGGACGGGGCGGCTGGCAGGAGGGCGGAGGCGATCGAGCACTGCGGCGCGCCGCCGCCTGTTGGATTGGCTCGATCCTCTCCCGCCAGGCCTGCCCTGCTCCCGCGCGCTCCTGGGCCCGCCCCCGCCGCCATCTTGGTCCTGGAGGGAGCGGGCAGCAGGCGCGAGTAAACAGTCCGAGCCGCGGGAGTGCGGTCGCAGTAGCGTCCGGGTGCCGCGGGGCTGCGGCGGCGGGGACCGCGTGTGGCTCTTCTCCCCAGCGGGTAAGCAGGAGGCGTTGGGCGGTCAGCGCGCAGGCCCTCCCCCGGCGCCGCCTCCGCCCCCTCGCGGCGAGGCGCCACGCTTCCCGGTCCCCCGCCCCCCGCGGCCCCTTGCCGGGTTGAAAGCTGCCCGGGAAAGTGGTGGCGGGAGCGGCCTGAGGCCCGAGCGCTGGTGCGGGAGCTGCGCCGGAGGAGGTCCGGGCTGGGGTTTCCGTGGGCCCGCGGCGAGCGCGCCAGGCCGGCGGTGTGCAGGTGTGCGGCTGGGGGCGGGGGCGCGGAGGCGCCGCGGGGTGGTCGCCGTCGGTCACCGCGTTTTCTTCTCTTCCGGCCCGGGCCGCAGGGTGGCCGACATGTCGGCCCTAGGCGAGAACCCCCTCCTGCCGCTGCTGGAGACTTTGGAGGACTCTTCCGCCTTCCCTGGAGAGCAGACGGACGCCTACCTCACCCTGACCAGGTGAGGCCCCGGCGGAGGGAGGCGGCCCGCGGGGTC